ACACACACCCTAAGTCAGACCCCAACAGCCCTGGATCTGCAGCCCAGCTGAGCTTCCCCAGCTGCAAGTCAGGTGGCACCACCTCCTTCAATGTCTCCTTTCCTGCCTCTGCTCTCCTGTGTTGTCCCTGCTGGAACCAAGCTGCTTTGAGAGCAGGGCTCTGCTGTGTCCTCTGCAGCCTAGAGTGCCTGGCATGAAGCCCAGCACACAGTGACATTATTTTGTCCCCACTAAATTGACTAATACAGGTGAATATAATACTTTTTAACGGAGGAGTGAAACTTGGAAACACAGGGATCGCTTAGCAGGTCCAAGGCCCTGGTCTGATCCCAAGTACCGCAAACAATACTAAGAAGCGGTGGGCGTCAGTGAGGGTGTGGAGGAACTGGGACCACAAGCTTTGCTCCTGGGATTAAATAGTTCAACTGCTTTGGAAAACAGTGTAGCAATTCCTCAACACATTAAATGTAGAGTCACCATGTGACACCCAGTAGTTCCCTGTTAAATGTAGACCATGATGAATGAAATTGGTCTTTCAGGCAAAGATTTGCACACAAAACATGGCAACACGCAAAGGTCTTTACCACACAAGCCGGCCAACCTGAGTCCAATCCGCGGAAGGGGAGAACTGACTCCTGAACGTTGTGACCTCTGACCTCTGACCTCTGACCTCCACAGATGCACAGGGCATGCCATCACCCACACTCCCACACACCAAAAATAAATCAATAATAAAAATGTACTAAATACATGAAATAAATTCATATAATTCTCTTATGTTTTGTAATCTCTTAACAGCATTATTCATAAAAGCCAAAAGATAAAACCAACCAAATGTCCATCGAGACTGGAAGAACAAATATGATATGGTCCCTCCAGTGACACAGTAGTCAGTCATAAAATGGGACGAGTGTGACTACAAGCCATGGCAGAGATTGTGTCAAGTGAAAGAAGCCATATATTGTTTGATGAATAAAAATTACCAGAATAGGCAAACTCATAGAGACATAAATTCGTGATTGCCAGGCTTGAGAGGAAGGGATTGTGGGGGTTAGCTGTATAGCTCAGTTTTCTTGTCCTGACCAAGCCACTCCAGCAGCTGCTTCCCAATTACCACACAGAGACTTAATATTATTCATAAATGCTCAGCTGATAGCTCAGACTTATTATTAGCTAACTCTTACACTTAACTTTAATTAACCCATATTTCTATTTATGCTTTGCCACGTGGCTCATGGCTTGTTACCTCATTTTCTTATACATCCTGCTTGCTCCGTGACTGGTTGGTGTCTCCTCCTTCCCATCATCCATAGTTTGGTCGTCCTACCTATACTTCCTGCCTGACTACTGACGAATCAGCATTTTATAAAATCAATTTGAGTGACAAATCTTTACAGTGTACAAAAGAATTATTCCACAGCATTTCCCCATTTTTGTCTTTAAATTAAAAAGGAAAGTTTTAACTTTAACATAGTAAGATTATATACAACAAAAATAGAATTAGTTACAATATCTAGTCTATTTGTATTTGGCAAAATTAGGGAAAATACTCTATCTTATCTTTGCAAGTCTGAAGTTTTGTACCTAATTTATTTTTATTATAACTAAAGAAAACTGTAACTATCTAGTCTTCAATGGGGCATAGTTTTCTAGGCTATGTCCTGATGATTGGGAGCACTGGCAATATTTGGGGGGGCCCTGAAAAAAATTAGGATTATGGTCAAATCCTGACTGAAGTATCCTGTAAGGCTGGATCATCTCAGCCAGCAGCTTTGGTCAAATCCTGACTGGAGTATCCTGTAAGGCTGGATTATCCCAGCCAGCAGCCCTGGAGCTGCTCTGGATGCAGAACTCCGAGCAAACTACAATAGAGGTGCTCTGAGACATTGGATCATCTGGACCAGCTGTTCCCATCAGAGGTTTTCAGGGGTCTTCCTTGGTCAAACCTGATTTTTCTTAACTCAGAATGAATCCACAGCCTCTCATTTCCTGTGGGAACAAAAGCAGAATCTCTTTCCCAAAGTAACATATCTTTTGATTTAAATTTTGAAGTCAAGATATTTTTTAAAAATATAGGTTTGTTTGATCTTGCAGTTTTCATGATCTAAGGTCTCTTAGCAGCTATAAAGACAACTCAATAATGTACATAATCCAGACTGTGTATGTTCCATCTTTATGTGGCTTATTATATTTTTATTACTCTATTTCTTTTTTAAGGACTTTCCCTACCCTTTTTCTTTACTCTCCCAAGCCTATGTATATTTTTAAACATACTGTAAACCATTTAGAGGTTTTTTCTTGGTTTTTGTTTGTTTGTTTGTTTGTTTGTTTGAATCTGTCTTTGCTGCATATCTCTATCTTGTTCCAACCACCTGAGTCTTTAAACTGTTAAGTGGTATGGCTAGGACCAAAGAGACAGTTTTGGTGACTGGCTCTGCCCCATTCCTTATGTCCTTGAGAGGTTTTTTCATGGCAGAGGTATGTTTAACACCAGCTCTGGGAGCCATGTTTACTGCTCCAACTCTGGGAAGTTTCTGGATCCATGCTACCACCAAGTAGTGTGTCACCTGCTGCTCATAAACTCCATTTAAGTGCTTGTTAGCAGGGTCTCTTAAAAGAGTTCCCCATTTTCGCCACTAACAGCCAGAAAGCTGTCTCTTAAAGGAGCCATGCCTCTGCTCACTGCCAGGAAACGCAGCCTGCTGCAGAAAAAGTGGCTACTAAGAAGACAAGTTTGGTTCTGTTTTTGTGCGTTTAGAACCCTTTTATAAGTTTTGTTAGGTCTTATATGGAAATTTCGGCCCCATGTTGAAGCGCTGTATGTAGAGTACAGTTTTTCTATCCTGACTGCCTGCTCCCCATCTGGGCAGTTGCTTGCCAATCACCACACAGACACTTAGTATTATTTATTAATACTCAGCCAATAGCTCGGGCTTATTGCTAGCTAACTCTTATACTTACATTAACTCATATTTCTATTGATGCTTTGCCACATGGCTCATGGTTTGTTACCTCATTTTTTATATGTCCTGTTTGCTTTGGCAATTGGCTGGCATCTCCTGACTCTGCCCTTCTCCTTCCCATCATCCTTAGTTTGGTTGCTCCACCTATTCTTCCTGCCTGGCTACTGGCCAATCAGCATTTTATTAAACCAATTTGAGTGACAAATCTTTACAGCATGCAAGAGGATTATTCCACAGCAGTAGCTAGTTTGCAGATGCGGGATTTCCATTAGAGACAAATGAAAAATGTTCTGGAGCTAGACAGCGGTAGTATGAGTTCCACCCATAAGCCATGCAGTAGGAGAGAAGTGATTTCCTCAAATTGTTCTCTGACCACCCTCAAATACACACACACACACACACACACACACACACACACACACACAGCGGTCTGTGTGTCATGGTAGAAGCATGGAGAATATAACCAAAGCCAACCTGGGGTGGGGGTGGGGAACTAAACTGAAAAGATGACAAACTCAGGTTCTGTGTACACGCAGGACAGAAAGGCCATGTGAGGACAGTCACCAGCCCAGCACCCTGATCTTGGACTCCTGGCCTCCAAAACTCGGGAGTGTTTGTCATCAAAGCCATTCCATGGTACTTTTGCTATAATACCCTCTTACGTTGCTTCCTGTTGCCCTGATAAAACACCATGACCAAAAGCGACTAGGATTTATTTCACCTTGCGGCTTATGGTCCAGCTCCTCATGAAGGGAATGGGCAAGAGCTCAAGACCCTCTGGGGGTTACTTCTCATCTCTTGCTCAGCCTGCTGCTCTTATGCCACTCAGGATTGCTGGTCCAGACATGGCGCAGCCCCCAGCAGGCTGGACCCTCCCGCATCAGGCTGGCAATCTGATGGAGTCCCTCTTCTCAGATGACTCCAGCTTGTGTCAAGTTGACAGAAATCAACTAACGAGGACAAATACCCAACCTGACCAAGACAGAGCCCTGTCTTTTTCTGAGGGATTTGGCAGTTGAAGCCGGTGTCGAGTTTCCTGTCGATGTTGTAACAAACAACCACAGACTGGATGGTTAAAACTATAGAAATTTGCCTGTGTTCTGGAGCCAGAAATCAAAAGTCTAAGTGCCAGCAGGGCCCCTTCCATCCTGCTCAGTGTCCACAACTCCAGGCCTTCCCTGCCTCACAGTGGCTTAGCTCACTTTCTGCCTCGCTACTTCTGGCCTTTGCCACCGGTGAATTCTCCTGCGCTGCTCTTGGAAGGTCGCGTGACACTAGACTTCATACTCATCCAGAGAACTCGGGATGACCTCAGGTTGAACTTCTTAATTATATCTGCAGAGATCCTTTTCCAGAATAAGGTCTCAGACGCAGGTTTGGGGTGTCGGAACAAGGGAGGTTCCACCAGAGACCTGAGTCCCTGGCTCTGTGCGTGTGGACATGACCACCCTCATGGAATTGTTTGCACCTGTCCTAAGGCACACTGTCTCACAGGAGGCTGCCCCTCTCTAGTCTAGTCAGTGGCAACAATGTTTCTCTCTCCCACCCACCCCCCCCAAGCCCTTGGTGGGTCACCTGCATTCTCAGGCTGTTTTCCATGTAACCCTTCCAAACGTCTGTCTCTCATTGTCATCACCTGACTGGGTGGATCTCCTCAGCCAAGCTGCTGAGGCCGTGGAAGAGCAGAGAGTGCCTGGCAGGGGTTGGGCTGAGTACGGGGGAGGCAAGGCAAAGCAGTGGTGACAGTCACATCATCGCATGAGAAACAGTTACAGTCGTATGTCAGGACTGCTGGCCTAATCCCCACAGCAGTCCCCGCCCCCACCAAGCAGCTGGTGCTCAGAACCCCACTTTGGAGGTGAGGGGTGGAGGCAGAAAGAATTAAGTAAGACTTCTGTTTTAGTTAGGGTTTTTATTACTGTAAAGAGACATTATGATCATGGCAACACTTATAAAGGAAAACCTTTAATTGGTGGGGCTCGCTTACAGATTCAGAGGTGCAGCCACTATCATCCTGGCAGGAAGCATGGTGGCATGCAGGCAGACATGGTGCTGGAGCTGAGAGTCCTATGTCTTGACTCAGAAGCAACAGGAAGTTGACTGACTTAGGCTTCACTTAGTCAGTCTCAAAGCCCGCCCCACAGTGACACTTCTTCTAAAGCCACACCTCCTGATAGTACCACTCCCTTTGGGGGATATTTTCTTTCAAGTCAGCAGTTTCTGAATCTGGTAAGCTTCAGAGCTGGGATTTGAACTCTGGGCAACCTGGCTCTAAAATTCACTTTGTAAAAAGAGGCCTGTGCTGGATGGTGATGGCACATGCCTTTAATCCCAGCACTCAGATGTCAGAAACCAGGCCAGCCTGGTCTACATAGTGAGTTCCAGGACAGACTCCAAAGCTACACAGAGAAAGCTTGTCTGGGGATGGGGAAAGAGAAGGCATTGTGTGGGCAGAGTGTTTCAAGAGACTGGGAATTGCTGCAGGATGTGAGAAATGCTACTTGGTCACAGCTGAACCTGTGAGGTGGGGGAGCGCTGGCCCTGGGTTGGTGGTCTGCATGCCTTTGGTTACACCCTGAGCAGACAAGGGGTGGGGGGATGGGCTGCATCCATCTTCCCAGGCAAATGTCTACCCCAAGGCTGTGATTAGACACCCTTGAGCCTGCTCCCTCTCCCCCCTTAAGCACCCAGTCCTGTCTCTTATTCTCTCGGCACGCGTGCAGAACTCCTGGAAATCTCCTGTCCTCTGACTGTGGGAGATGGTTTGGTGGTGACAGGGGACATTGTCACCTCAGACAACGTGAGAGAATCCCAAGGCAAGAAAGACGGGATGAGCAAAACTTGACCCTTCCGTGAGGGCAAAGCCTCAAGAAGGCACAGGGGCAGGGTCGACCCCTTGAATCCATTTTGCGGGAGGTACCACGAAGGCCAATATCTCATCCTGTTGTCAAACCCAGCCAACCACATAGACAAGACCTATGGGGTTGGTCCTCAGCCTGCCAGGGTTTCTCAAATGAGACTCCACAAGGGTGGGGATGGGGGACAGTCGTCAGCACGCCCAAACCCCTGAAGCCTCATCCATCCAGTGCACCAGGCTCAGAGGGAGGAGGATTGAAAGCCGGAGAGACGGGATCACCGGCACGGACACACAAGTGGAGCTGGTTCTTTTCAGCATGAGTTTCTAGTGGGGATTTCACAGATATAGGCCAACCTGCAAAAGCAGAGGGGTAACAGGGAACATGAGTATATAACCTGGCAGGGCTGACCGGAGCTGTCTCCTTCTGAGGGAAGGAAGGCAGGGTTTTCCTGAGCAGCAAAGAGGGATGGAATAGGTCCAGCCTAGTGTTGGGGTGACCTGTGAGGGGCTTATCATCGCTCCTTAAGCACAGAAAGCGCCCCCCTCAACTTCTATGAGTCTATAAAAATGGACCCAAGAGCATCCCCACCAAGCTAAAGAGCTTAGAAGGCCCCTTCCTTTCTTCTTTCCCTCCTAAGGTTCCAGGGAAGCCTCCGGGAAGGCCTGCCCCTGGCTCTCCCCCTCCCCTTGCCATCACCAGGAAGGACCAGTGGCAGCAGGGCACCTGCCCCTAGGGAGCTGCAGCTGTCCCACAGAAGCTTTGCTCCTGTTTGGCGGTAACTGCTAGCCTCTCCCTGGCTCCTAGGAGCAGCTGCCCACACAACCCCTCTACAGATAAACAAATGACCAGTCACCCTGTTAATCCCCGGTACTGGTACTTCAGCCTGGCAGCCCCCCCCCCCCCCTGCCCCCAGCTCCCACCCGGGGAGTTTTCCATGACCTCAGCTCTGGAGAATGTGGGGGAATTTAGTACAGGGAAGGGCTGGACAGCTGGGCCTGAAGGGAAGGTCAGGCCAGGCTTTGGAGTTTACTGGGCCAGCAGAGATGTGGATCAATGTCACTAACCTCCCAGGTGGCAAGGCAGGCCCATCAGGTCCCAGGAAGCCAGGCAGACCTGTGATTGGGCCCTGGTGTGTTTGCCCATGTTACCCCACACAGCCTGGTGGCTCCCACATTGATTGGCAGCTGTCCAATTCCTGGGCTCCCATAATCCTCTTGTCGGACTTGTCTGCAGGTGGTTTTCCAGGCATCCCTACTGCTGCAATGGGACCTGCCTGCTCCCTCCAGGGAGACAGCGCTTTCAGAGGCCAGCCTCAGGGACTTGGGGTCCCCAACAGTTATTTCAGCCCCCACTCCTTTGCCTGCCCCACCTCTCAGATGCACTGAAGAACAGACCGAAGGTGGCCTGTTGGAACAAGGAGAAACATGGAATGGCTGCTTAAGTTAGATCGTCAGATAAATAATGTTTTTTAGTATCAGCACACCCCATACAATCTTCGAGATATGTTTTAAAGGGGTCAGTCCTTATCTAGAATTTGCACGGAATAGGATGTCTGGAACTCGAGGCCCCTATTTTATGTTTGAGTTCTATAAAAGCCCACTTCTCTGCTGATCTGTAGGGAGACATTTAGGAATAAGAGCCCACATCACACATTAATATTCTCCCATTATTATGGAATTAATCCAGTTTTAAAACTCTGGGATATTATAGATTCTTTGGGAAACGTTTCTGCAACTTTTTATTAACTCCATATTTCATAGATTATAGTGACGACTTTCAGTGGATAATGTTTTTCTCCCCCTGTTCCTTTTGTGTGTTGGGGAAATGTACTGCTACCAGACAGGAAGCGATTCTATTCTTACCCGATTGTCAATGCTGTTGAAGGAAAATGTCCTTTGTCTTTCTTGTTTGTTTTAGGCTTTTGTTATCTTTTGTAATCATGTCTAGCTATGTTGCCCAGGTTAGACCCAAACTTCTGGGCTCATGTAATCTTCCTGCCTCATCACCCAAACAGGATTAGAGGTACTTGCCACCATGCCTGGCCCTTTTTATTATTGTTTCTTTCCACCACCCACCCTCAAAATCCGGGGTCTGGGAGCAGTAGCTCAGTGGAAACGGAGTGTGTGCAAGACTGAGAACCTGGGCTGCCACACAAGCCAACCAGCAAATACAGGAACCTACAAACCCCAAGGCCAAGATGCCCACACAGACCTGGTTTCCTTTGGAAAGGCAAGTGCTCGGATGAGGAGCTCCCTGCAATGACAGATGTCCCTGGTGTAAACATAGTCACGAAAACTGGCTCTGTGCCTTGTCTAGGGAGGCTCAAAACCTAGCTTAAACCTCTATAGGTACCAGGGGCTCTTGGCTGGCAGTCAGAGGGCTGGGAAAACAGTTTCATATTTCTGCCTTCTGCTCCTTTCCCCACCTTTTCTCCAAAGGAGGACAAAAGTGAGTGGTCCAGTATCTGAGGCCACAGGATGGCATGTGACCGACCACAGGACCCCTTCTGAGGAGGCAGAGGTCCCAGGTCTCTGCCTCTAGACATGTGGTAAGGCCCTGACCACATTCCCCATGCAGCTCAGCTAGAAAGGTCGGCTCTGTCGGTCACAAGGCCTCTCCCAGGTCCCCAGGGAAGAAGCTTGGGAACAGTCTGGCCCTGTGTGCAGCAGCACCCTGGCAAGGGACCAGCGTGAGGCCCTTCCTGCCCTTGCAGGGAGCCATCTGTGAACTCCCAGCGGGTCAGAAGTTCAGGAGCCAGCCCTCTGACGTAGTCCCCTTCTCAGCCACCTACGCAGGCATAGGCTCCAAGCTCCAGGCCGGTCTCCAGCCTTCCAGTGCACTCTGCTCCTCCCTTTTCTCCCTACCTCCCTTTCAGGGTTCGCAAGCTCTTGGACTAAATGCCTATAAGAGGCAAGGCTGCTGGATGCCCGTAGCACAGCCGCCTCGGCTCAGGGATACACAGTGGACATGCCACCCAGGGCCAGCTCCAACCAGTGGAGCTGCCAGGTGGGCAGCAGGGCAGTGGCTTCACAGTGCTCACCTACTGTCCCTGGACAGTGGCCAGGGAGGCTTCACCATCAGTTCCATGAGCACTGTGGCTGAGTTCAGTTTGATGCTGCACCCCTCCCGCCGGCCTGATTGTCAAGAGCTCCTGTTTCTCTATGTGCTTTCTCATCCGTGAAAGGAGACCAGAGCCACCTCTTCTCAGGGGGCTGTTATGAGGGTTCCAAGGCAATCCAAGAGATTAGAAAACTACGTCTACCTGAGCTTCATCCTTGGAACAAATGACGAAGGAGAAGAAACAACCCTGAGCTCCACACATTGACCTACACGCACGGCCACCAAGGAAGTAAATAAATAATGAAGGCAGAAGATAGCCTGGCATAATGGAAGTGCCTGTGAGCTGTGAGAGGCTGGTTCCCTGGAATGAGCAGCAGAGACACCTGGGCACTAAGGAGGGGGCAGAAGACGAAGCTGCTGCCCTCACCCCTGCTCAGGGTCCCCTCCTTCTTCCCTGCACAGTGGAGTTCTGTCTCCTCGTGATCGTGTCTCCTCCAGGCCGTCGAAATGTTCTTCCTGCACTGGGGAAGAGTCCATATCACCTCCCGTGCCCCACCGTGATAGAGTCAAACTAAATTCCTAACTAGAATGACAGCGAGGAGTGGGCACGTGACCGGGTTTCACCAATCAAAGGAGTTCACAGAAGACCTTGTCAGACGCCAAAACTGGAGGCCCCTGGGGACAACATTCTCTTCTCCACCATTTTACACTTTCCCAGAGAAGGTGCTATACTCACCGCTAAAACGACATGCTGGGATCTTAACTCTCAGCACCCCAGAAGGCAGCCTTTCAGGGAACGGGTCCTGGGAAAAGATCAGGTTAGGATGAGGTCACTATCACGTGCTTTGATGCAATGGCTGTGTGTGTGTCCTTATAAAACAAAGAAAAATTTGGTGGTGGCTGGGTGTGGTGGCTCATGCCTTTAATCCCAGCCCTCAGGAGACAGAGGTAGGTGGATCTCTGAGTTCAAGACCAGCCTGGTCTACAAAGTGAATTCCAGGACAGCCAGGGCTACACAGAGAAATCCTATCTCAAATAAAACAAAACAAACAACAACAATAACAAAAATTCTGGCAGAGTCGAACACACAGGCAGCAGAGGTCTGGGTAATGCTTCCACAAGCCAAGGAACTCCATACCCTAAGGCACCAGGAACTCCCAGAAAGGCATTGAACAGATCCTCCCACACTACCCAATGACCATGCAGACAATGGCCCACAGAACTGCTGGACAGCCTTTCTTTTCTGTAAGCCAGCTGGACAGAGAACTTGTGAGGCCCACGGTAGCAAAACAGTACAGGGAAGAATTGCATCTTTTCAAAGGTGAGCACCAGAGAGCTGGCTGTCAAAGGTTTCGTTTACTGGGCCATAGTTGGAACCCAGGAAAGGTCTGTACTGGGGTGGAACCGTGGCTCAGCAGCTCAAAGCACTGGCTGCTCTTCCAGAGGCCATGCGTTCACACGACAGTTTACAACCGTCTGCAACTCCAGTGCCAGTGAATCTGATGCCCTCTTCTGGTTTCTGCAGGCACAGGGCACACACATGGCATAGACATACAGGCAGGCAAAACACCCGTACACATAAAAGTAAATAAATAAATTTTTTAAAAAAAATAAAGGTTTGTTCAATAACTATCTCTTCTGTAGTTCAAACAGCCAAGCATGCAGGATAGATGGAGGCCACAGGGGTCAAACATCCTGCCCCATTAGCAGTCCAGGGAGGAACGGCACCAGCCACTCCCAAGGTGCATGTTGCCGGCATCAGAAATGATGAAGCTGTGTGGCACCAGGTTCTGGTGGATGACTGTCTACTCATAGGGCTCGGAGGTGAGAACTGAGACCTGATCTATCTTGTTTCAACTCTTTCACCTGGAAACAAAACATCATAAGGTCCACAGAGAGTCAAGCAACCTCCTGAGCAGTCCGTTCCCATGGGTACCCAGAGGAACCTTAGGTGCTGAGACATGTGTCTGTGAACATAGCCTTCTTTCTTTGAGTCTTAGCTTAACTCTCTGCGACAATGGCTCGAAGTAAGAGAGGAGACTAGGTGTAGTTTGATAGTCTCTCATGTGGATCCTGAGCATGCACAGATAGATAATGAGAGAGCAAAAGACAGACAGACAGACACTGGGGAGATGTCAGAGGGAGTAGACACTAAGAAGGCTCTGTCCAGAGGCAAGAAGAACTAACTATCCACACCCTTCAAGAGAAGCTGTCCACCTGGCCTCTCCCCATTTTCCTGTGAAGGCCAGCTCTTAGCAAGGACAGACACCAAATAGATGGGTCACTGGGAGTCCACAAGCCCCGCCTACCACGATTCAAACCACAGACCACACCCAGGCCTGGCTGGGAATGGGCATCTTTTATGTTAAGAAATATGAGCCTCCAGGATTCCACATGAGTCTGGGAGTGTCCTCACAGAGAGCCCTTTGTGCCTGGGAGAGGGGTGGCCTGTTTATTCTGGCAGGTGTCCAGGCATTGCCTATTTCCAACTACCACGTCCTGGGGCTCCCCACCTTTCCTCTCCTTTGCACCTCCCTTCCTCCCAGGGCACAGCCACCCTGCTGAGGGCAGGAACTCAGTAGGAAACCTAGCTCTGATGGAACCATGAGAGAGTCCCAGGCTGGAGGCTGAGACAACTCCAAGGACTGCTTCGTAAAGAGAACAGGGCTCAGGGGACAGCCAGGCCGAGGGAGCTTGGAGTAGAGGAGAGGCCGTGGGTGGGTCAGGTCAGAGCTGGAGTGGAGTGGAGCTTCTCTATGGCAGGAAACACCTTCCAGTTCGTTCTGCCTGGGAAGAGGGTGGGATACAGAGCGATTTGGCTTGTTGCTGGGAGACACCATCACTAAAGGTCCACAATTATAATTGCAACTGTTCTTGTTTCTTTTAAAAATTAAATTAAAAAGCCCACAAGAATCCCATGCTTGTCAGTCTTCCTCCTCCACGGTCGGTTCCTATTATGAATCCGCAGCATCTTCTGCTGAGAGTTAATTACACATTGTATAAAAGATGCACACCTTCCTTTAACAAATTTTCCTTCAGGGTGAGTTCTAACCTCTTGGCTCCTTCCCCTGCTCCCCATCCCCCAACGCGGAAAGGATGGACTTGCCTGACCTCAGGCCCTCTACTACTTGGAGCCTGCCTCTCCCTGCTGGATGCCTGGGGCTGCCTGCTGCTGAGCAGAGGCTTTCTCCCAGACCAGACCTCACTTCCCACCCCTAGGAGGTTCCACCCCTGCCAGAGCTGGCTCACAACCAAACACAGACAGTAACTGTCACCTGCATACACCCAGCCCTAGGCCCCTCCACAACCTGATCCTCAGGTTCTCAAGGAGAGAAAAGGGTAACAATCACCCCCTGAAGGCCCAGGGATGGAATGTGACCAGGAGGTTCCAGGCAGAGCTTGTTCTTGTGCCTTTTTTTATACCCTCCCTCCCGGATTGCTCCACATGTATACCGACATTGCTGTTCCCAGGATGGCTCAGTTTTTCTCCTAAGAAGCTATGAGCAACTCTGGAAACAGGAAGTAGTGTGGGCTAATGCCTTGAACCACTGCCCTCTGTGGTATTGAATTTCACCTACTTAGGAGACAGCTAACTGTGTGACTGTTGGGACATCTCAGAGCTTGTTACAGCTGTTCTGGGGTTTGACAAGTCACAGCATCTCAGACCTGGAAAGTCCTTCTAGGCCACCCGTTTCCTGAGCCAGGGTGCAGCTGAAAATGAAGAATTCCATGTCCCAGATATCACTTTCCTGGGCCACTCAGTAAAGGTGGACTAAAGGTAATCATGTCGTAGCTTAATCTAAGCACTTGGATGGCCGAGGCAGGGAGGTCACAAATGTGAGGCCAACATGGGCAGTTTAGCAATCTCTTGTTTGGAGAGAAAAAAAGAAAAAAGAGAAGAAAGCCAGGTACCAGGGAGATGGCTCAGAATTGGTGTGGGAGGTCCTTCTGTCTATGTGTCGCTTTTATTGGTTAATGAATAAAGAAACTGTCTTGGCAGAACAGAGCTAGGTAGGGGAAACTAAGCTGAATGCTGGGAGAAAGGAGCCAGGGTCAGCGGACAAAACTTTACCCACCACTGCCACATGGTGATACACAGATTAATAGAAATGGGTTAGATTAATATGTAAGAGTTAGCAAATAAGAAGCTAGAGCTAATGAGCCAAGCCGTGATTTAATTAATACAGTTTCTGTGTGATTATTTCAGGGCTTAGCATCTGGGAACTAACAAGTGACTTTCTCCCTCCAACACAGCATCATCAGCATCAAGTACGCATCACACACACACACACACATTATTATCATTATTATTATTATTATTAAGAAGTTTTAATAATATTAAAATTCAGCATAGGGTTGCATGTGCACACCTATAATCTTAGTGTTCAGAGGCTGTGGCAAGAAAATTGCCATGAGTTTGGGTCCAGCCTGAGCTAACTAATGAGTCCCGAGGCATACAGGAATATGTATCATGATCCCATCTAAAGAAAGAAAGTAATGACCGTGTCTATAGCTGTCAGCCACCTGTGTATAGAATGCTCACCTTTTTATAGACCTCACCAAGAACTGACTTTATAAAAAGAGTAATTTCTCTGATTATTTGCTCTCTCTCTTCAAAGTCAGTGCAGGGTGTTGGAAGAATTCGAGGACGAACTGGAGCGGAGCTCAGTGGTAAAGCAAGCATCCCGCCACCATGTGCAGGTCCTGGGCTTGATACCCAGCATGGAGGAAGAAGGTTGGGCACTGTGCACGAGACACAGGACCTTCGGCAGCATCTGGAAAGGACCAGAGGGTGTGAGCGGTGGTAGGGGCACACGGGAGGGCTGGCGAGTGTGTTGTCTACAGTTTCTCACAGGCGGCTGCGGTCACTTCTCTTTCTTCTCGTGGTGGGGGTTATCTTCTTATTGAGCCAACTATTCTCTGTGTGGGTGCATGTTCCTTTGCATGTACACAGAGGCCAGAGAAGACGCCAGGTGTTCTGCACTGTCCCTTTCTGTCATAGGCCCTTGTGAAGGGTCTCTCACTGGATCTGCAGTGACAGGCTGGCAGTCAGCGATCCCCAACTCCTAGCTCTACCTCTGGAAAACTCGGAGTTACTGGTGCATGCAACCACACCCTGTTTTCCTTCCTTCCTTTCTTCCTTCCTTCCTTCCTTCTTTCCTTTATATTCCTTTCTTTCTTTCTTCCTCTCTCTCTCTCTCTCTTTTTTCTTTTTTTCTTTCCCAAGACAGAGTTCCTTTGTGCAACCCTGAATTCACTTTGTAGACCAGGCTGGCCTCAAACTCACAGAGATCTGCCTGGCTCTGCTTCCAGAGTAATAGGATTAAAGGCATGCACCACCACTGCCTGACTGACACCCTGCTTTTTACATGGGTCATGGGGTACTAATTCCACTCCTCATGATTGCAAAGCAAGTCCTGTAACCCACTGAGCTGTCACCTCCCTGATCTCCTTTTTTTAATTTAATTTTGGAGACAAAATCTTACTAGATAGTGCATGCTGAGTGGCCTGAGCACCACCTCATGAATTAGGCCAGGGTCATTAAGTGGCCATAAACTTTCAGTGATCCTCCTGACTCTGCCTCCCAAGCTCTAAGATTACAGGTGTGCACCATCACACTGATTGTGGATGGTGTGGGGAGGTGGGAGCTCCAATTCAAATATACAAAACCTGTTGAAGTGCTACACCCTGTGCCTAGAGTGGTGGTACCGACCTGTAATCCCAGCACGTGGTGGGTGGCAGTAAGAGGATCAGGAGTCCCAGGCTTGTCTGGGCTCAGAGTAAGTCTCACAATAAATGAATACATAAAGGAGGGACAGAAGGTAGATGTGAACTCCCAAGACCCGGGGAGGAGATTCTGATTTCACCAATATGCGGCGCTCTGCTGTGTGCATTTCTAAGAGGCATCCTGGGTAATTCTGAACAAGCGGCCACACTATTTCACGTGGGTCCAAACTGCAGCTAAAACAAGAATCAGCTGGACCAACCACAGTTGCTTTCCTCCTCCCAGCCAGAGCTTTCCCGGAATGTATGTTCTAAGAAATTATTTATATTTCTATTTTTAAAATAGCACTAATTTCTTCTGCCTTCAGCATAATTAATGTAGCAAGCTTAGAAGGTGCCATAATAAAACACTTGTGACCCTTCACTGAGGGAGGGAGAGATGGTTAGTAACATTATGTTGTTTCTTCCTTATGTGTTTTTATAATAAAGTTGACAACACACTAAAAGAATGATTTGATATTAATGTCTCCTGTATTTTTTTTAACTAGTCACTCTGAGGTCTGCACAATGTCTTCATTAAGTAGATATGCCTTGCTTTTATAATCCTTCCCTAGTATGACATCAAAGTTACTCCCAACAATTAAACAATACTGAGATGAAACATCTTTAGGCATAACATATTATCAACTTTTTGTTAGGTATTTGCTTTGTTTTTTGAGACAAGGTCCCAAGTAGCCCAGGTTAACCTAGAACTTGCTGAAGATGTCCTGACAGGCCTGCCTTTACCTCCCAAATGGCACAAGGCTATGCCTAGTTTTTACAGTGTTGGGGGTCGAAACCAATATTTTGTATACATTAGGCAAGTACTCCACTGACTGAGATATAGTTTTAGCCCTGTTTGTTCATTCTTTGAGACAGTTTCAAGTAGACCAAGCTAGCCTTGAACTCACTATATAACTGAGGCTAACACTGAACTCCCGATCCTTCTGCCTCTGCCTCCTGAGTCCTGAAATTACAGGTCACATGCCTTCATGCCTACTGTTTTATCAACTTACTTTGTAAAAGTAACTTTTTGTTTTTTTTACAAGAATAAAAAAATTGAATCTAGGGCATTGAACATGCCAGGCAAGTATCCTACCATTGGCTCATATCCTTGGTCATTATCAACGTTTGTTTTTTTTCTTTTTCCTTTTTTGCTTCATTTAGATGAAAATGTGTTGACAGAGGCTTCTGTCCTGCCCTGTCCTGCAGTCATTCAGTCCCAGAAAACCACACAGAAGTCTACATTAATTATAAACTGGTTGGCTTAGTAGCTCAGGCTTCTTATTAACTCTCATAACTTACAATAACCCATAATTTTTGTCTGTGCTAGTCACATGGCTTGCTATCTTTAATCAGCGATTCATTCTCATCTTGCTTCCTCTGTGTCTGGGTGATGGCTGCAGACTTCCTTTCCTCTTCCCAGAATTCTCCTGTTCTCATCGCCTCCCCTCTATTTTCTGCCTGCTCGCCCCACCTATACTTCCTGCCTGGCTACTGGCCAATCTGCATTTTATTAAAGCAACACAACTGATAAATCTTTACAGGGTACGAGACTATTGTTCCAGAGCAGAAATGGAGCATTGGGTTCATAGACGTAAATGTGGGCTGGTGACATAACTCAGCGGTTGAATAGTATGTGCAAGGTCCTAGGCTCACCTCCCCAGCACTAAAGAAATGGGGGGGGGTAGGGGATGTTTTAGAGGCTTCTGGTAGACATACCACCAAGTTCCTGCTCCATTTTGCAGGTCTCCCCCATGTCAGCGTGGAGTGTCATGAGTACCCCTGTGTCTGCCACACTCAGCCCACAGTCTATTTAAGGTCTGATAAAGGATTTCACTTTAGTCTGCGGCAGAGGAACCCCTGAGGGAATGAATGTGTAGTTGACATAGCACAGTCGTGCCAAGAACCCCACAGCCTCTGCCTCAGAAGGATGATGAAGTCCAAGTGCTGACAGTGTGCACAGAAAATGGCCACCATGCCCCACCCCCATGTCTGGCCTGAAGATTGCTCTCTTACAGAGACTTCTCCTACCAAGAATAGCCAACCCTGCCTCCTAGAGCCAGCTATGAACCACAAATCATCCCTCCTTCTTTGTCTATTGCAACAACCCTGCCTTCTGGTCCTGCTGTAGGCAGTGACTCTGCCTCCCAGGCAGTTATATATCATAAACATGTTGAGGCCAGACCACGTGATCCCAGCTTCGCGTCTGTGTGTGTGTGTCTTTTCTTCACTCCTTGCTGCCCCAGTCAGGACTGTCCCTGGAACAACAGGAACATCACCAGGCTCCAGATCCCACTATTCACTACGTGTTGCTATATCTCACAGGACAAAAAGACACACAAAACCATAAACTCAATATTTTTTGCTTTGAACTCTTGCATTAAACACAATAGGATATCAGGCTCTCACAGCCCTCATACATTAACGCCTTCTTTTAGTGGTTCTTGTATAACTTGTGCCTGTCAGGGCCACAGTCACCTTTGTCATTGGGTGTTAGTCTGGTGGGTCTAGTTTCCGGGTTAGTTAGCCTGGGAACATTGAGAGGAACAACAGGCTGTGAATTCTTAAATGGCTCACTTCTCCTCAAATGCTGGTCTCCTAATGATGGCTTCACAAAGGTCGTTCCATGTGGTTAGTCTTCTCCATCCTGAGCAGACTTAAAGCTGAAGACACCCCTCCCTCGTGGTCAGTAGTAAAGCTCTTTCTTGGCATGCATGGGGCTCTGAGTTTGATCTCCGGAACCCCAAGTTTAAAAAAGAACCAGTTGAAGTGGCAAGATCCAGCCTAAAAGTGGGTGGTACCAGTCCCTAGGTTTTGGTTTTGAACTGAATACCAAGAGAAACAGTCAAGCAGGGACTATGGATACAATGTGATAATCTGCTTTCAGACTATGGATACTATGTAACAATCTGCCCCTACCATGGACACTATGTAGCAATCTGCCCCACCTACTGTGGATGGTCACTATGTAACAATCTGCCTCCATACTATAGATACAATGTGATAACCGCTACCTGACTATAGATACAATGTTACAACCTACTTCCAGGAATACAATGTGACAACCTGCTTCCAGACTATGTGACTATACAATGTGACCTAGCTGCTTAGTGCTCCCACTGCCATGCCTTTTCCACCATGGTAGACTGCACTCTAGACCTGTAAGCCCAAATAAGGCTTTTCTCCCTTAAACTGCTCTTGTCATTTGGGGGCTCTTGCTGTTTGTTGTTTTGGTTTTTGAGACTTTGTTTTTTGTTTTGTTTTTTGAGACAGGGTTTCTCTGCATAGCCTTGGCTGTCCTGGAACTCACTTTGTAAAACAGGATGGCCTCAAACTCACAGAGATCTGCCTGCCTCTGCCTCCATGGTGTTGGAATTAAAGTTGTGCACTACCACTACCTAGCTTGTCAGGATATTTTTAACAGCAATGAGGCAAGCAATGAATGAAGACACTGAAGACCATCTTGAATTTCTGTGCCTCCTCTTCTGGAAACAGAGATTCCTCTGTACTGCCTTGTTCCATAGCTGCTTCCAAATAATCACTCAGAGGCTTATATTAATTATTAATGCTCAACCAATAACTCAGGCTTATCACTAGCTAATCTTACATTTAAATTAACACATTTCTATTACCCCATTTCCATTAATCTATGTTTTTGCCATGTGTCTCATGGCTTTACCTGTGCTTTAATACATCTTGCTCCTCCAGCGGCGGGCTGGCATCTCTCCCTCTCTGTCCTTCTTTCTCCCTGTATTCAGTTTGGCTTTTTGGCCTCACTATATTCTGCACCACTATGAGTCAAAGCAGCTTGTATTATCAACCAATGAGAGCAATGTATATTCACAGCATACAGAAGGGCTATCCCATAGCACTCTTCCACCTCCCAAGTGCTGAGATGATAGGCATGTATATACCACCAAACCTGGTTTATGTGGTGCTGAGGATCAAATCTAGAGATTCATGTGCATAGCAAACATTTTACCAACTGATCTATA